CTTTATAGACAAAGGACAAGGTAAGAAAGGAGCTCGTGTGTCTGTGTGTGTGTGGACAGATAGAGATGTCTGAGTGTGTTTGTACATGTAGAGAGCATTAGAAAATAATCATACTTTGTTAAAATCAAATAGCTCTTTTTAATGTAAATTAAATCATACAGCTTTGCTGCAGATTTTGTCTTCCTGCCATATCTTGGAAAATTCATTTAGAGGCAGAACTAGATGGTTGTGTGGCAGCCAAACAAAACGTTTAGAAAATAATTTAGATGCATATTGTTGAAAATCAATCAGTCTTTGCATGCTTAGGTGTTTAAAAACCTTTTAAATTTTTGTCTTATTTTCCTTCCATAAATAGCTTCTGGAAATGGCTAATATTAGATTTTATTATAAAGTATGTCTAAAAACATATGCTAAGAACAGGTCTATTCCATGAAAAAACCCCACAAGTTTCAGTATCAAAGGGTCAACTGAATTTGTTCAAGGTAGAATTGTGATGAACTACAGTGTAGACCCAAGAGTCATTATAGCAGAAGGTGGGTGTATCTGTACTAGCTCAAAGCTTATGCTCTCAGGTGCCACCATCCACAGAAGCCCACAGCTAAGCACAGACTAACAAGAGTAAATAACTTCTGGGACTCCAGAAATTGCAGTTCAACACTCTGGTTCCAAACTTTTTTTGAAATTTGGACTAGTGTCTGCTTTCACACAAGAAATAACCAGGCTCACAAAGAACAATGCTGACCTTACTGCTCTGGTCAGAGAGCCCCATGTTGCTCCCAGTGACATTAGTAAGAGTTTTGTCATGTACTGAAGGAAGCAACACAGGCTACAGCTGGTAAGGTAATGGTGATGGAAGACTCATCCTGGACTGGATTTGTTTTCCATTCAATTATGAATAGCTTGGTTTCTTGGGAGGGATGATGCGCTGCTCACAAGTGCCGCATTCAGGTTCTCAGCTCGCCACTGGAAGGCATTGTTAATGTAACATCGCTAAAATGTTGGCTCAGCCATATTCCTTGTTAGTGCTACTCATGAGCTTAACCAAGCAAATGTAACGTCAGGTTAAAGGGAGGTATGTTTTTCTTCCCAATTTGAAAAAGTCGTGAGTCGTGAGGTTAAGTTAATAAGGCAATTATCCTTGTGTCTGGCAGTTCCTGGGGGATGTTGGTTTTAAAGGACTAATTCACTATTGTGTCGTCTAAGGGTAAATTTGCTCATGTTTGGAGCCAGCATGAGGCCTGGGCACCACTGAAGCTCTGTTTCGGTAATTTAAGTAGGATAGAAGTGGTGAATAGGCCCTGTGAGTGCTCAGCTCTGAAAAAGGACTATTTTTCAATTGGCTAATTGCTACTTTGAAGTTAGAAAATGCCCGCCAGTGAAAGAAATGAGATTTCTGCAAGGCAAACTCAGAAACTCATTTCCCTCTTGAGTCACTGAGCTCTTCTAGATCCCTGCACAGAGCTGATCCCTTAGACAAAAATTACCCTTTCTGTTTGGTGGGCTAATTAAGGAAACTTCTAGGCTTATGAGCAAACTTCAGGAGAACCATTAAGAATTGATTAACTGATACTGATCTGTGCTTGATATACATTTAAAAATGTGTATGCTTTTTTTAGATGAGCGAGCACCAACTATAAGAAAACAAAAATACATTTTTGACATCAGTGCATTAGAAAAAGATGGTTTGCTGGGAGCAGAACTTCGAATATTGAGGAAAAAACCTTCTGATACGTGGAAGTCTCATTCTTCTGGAAAAACTTCTCAAGTGAAACTATTTAGTTGCTCTACAAACAGACAAGCAGCAACACTCCTGGACTCACGTACTGTCAGTATCACAGATACACCAAAGTGGGAAGTGTTTGACATCTGGAAACTTTTCAGAAACTTTAAAAACTTGGTTAACTTGTGTTTTGAGCTGGAAACTTTTGACAGGGGGAGAGCTGTTGATCTCAGGAGTGTGGGATTTAATAGAACAGGAAGACAGGTCAATGAAAAGGCTCTCTTCCTGGTATTTGGGAGGACAAAAAAAAGAGACTTATTCTTCAATGAAATCAAAGCTAGATCCGGCCAAGATGACAAAACTGTTTATGAGTACTTATTCAATCAGAGGCGGAAGAGAAGAGCTCCTCTAGCAACACGGCAAGGGAAGAGGCCCACTAAGAATCTGAAGGCAAGGTGTAGCCGAAAAGCCCTCCACGTGAATTTTAAGGATATGGGCTGGGATGACTGGATAATAGCCCCTCTAGAGTATGAAGCATATCACTGCGAAGGGCTTTGTGAATTCCCCCTTCGGTCCCATCTGGAGCCCACCAATCATGCAGTGATCCAAACATTAATGAACTCAATGGACCCAGAATCGACACCCCCAACTTGCTGTGTCCCAACGAGGCTGAGTCCTATTAGCATTCTTTTCATTGACTCTGCAAACAATGTGGTCTACAAGCAGTATGAGGACATGGTAGTGGAGTCATGTGGTTGTAGGTAGCAGAACAGTTGCTCACATGATTATGTTATGAAAGGTAATATGACACATTGAACATAACCTCTCCTTAAACAAGGTTAACTAGATTTCTTACCTCTAGGGTAAGTATGTTTACAAGGATGTAGCAATAAATCCAGTGCTTCTAATTGTCTCTCCACCACGGGCATGTTCAGTAGCATTTGGATGCTGTCATGCAGCCTGATATAAGGCCTCGTGTCAATGACATGAGACTGGTTCTAACTGAAGTCCATGATAGAGAAGATTATACCTCCACACCTATAGATCGCCTGTTTTTAGTCTCAAGGCAGTGGGTAAAGATGGTATCAGTGAGCTGTGGATATGACCTGTTTGATCCTTTGAACAATGTTCTTGAGACTGAATTTAATGTCTGGGTCCCATGTACTTTGTCCATTACGAAATGTAAAAAAAGATTCCTGATGTCTAGAAGAGAAGGTTTGTGTTCTGGTGTGCTCCCATCTTGGTGTAAATAGTTACACTGTAATATGATTTCTTTCTGATTAGCTCTTTAAACTATGCATATATAAAAAAGGAGTCATTAAATATAATATGTTGATTTAGTTTTAAGTTTTATGTGGAGATAGGCGATGCAGGAGCTGTTTGCTTCCATGTATGTTTTCCTCCAAGCTACATATCTTTCTTGAGTATCCACCTTTCCATTATTATGTAGCAAGATATATTACTCTGTGTAAGGTCCAAGTTGTTCTCAAATGCTCATAGTACAAGTGTTCAATTATGGCATAAGATGTAATAAATTATTGACATAGTGCTACATTGTGTCTAGCTGTCCAACTCTGCATAATTAGAATGCTATTAAGAAATTGTTTTTAATGTTTTTGTGCAATAAATACAAGTGAAAGGGACTTTTCAGTGCAGCAAAATACTAGTGGTATGCAAAACATGACCATGTATTTTGCTTGCCTCTAACTCTGCTGCCACAGAGAGAAACTGTGGAAACATTGGAAGACAGATCTGAAAGTATGGCATGGTTTGATCTGTTGGGGAATGACACTATCACTTGATGTTTATCAGGGCAAAAATGAGTTATGCAGATGATTGCAAAAGAGCTCTGATATCCTTTTATTCCACCCTCCAAAGGCTGTGTGTTTGCATATCCTCTTTATCTATTCTAGACGCGGATAAATTTACTGTGGGATTACTCTGCATATGTTTCCACCTACAAAACTAGGTACCAGATGGTCAACTGTAGAGGGATCAGAAAGGCCGTAAGAACCATCAGAAATTATTGAAGTAGCTTATCAATAGTATGAAATATAAAGGTTTATAGTATGAAATAGTATGAAATATAAATATGCTAAGGTTTGATATTGTTTCATCACAGTTTAAACCATCAAGTCACATGATTTACTGGATCTGAACTCTCCTCTGCACAGCATCGCTCATGTGGGTAGTGGCAGGGAGCTGAATGTGGCCCCTGAGGTCCTCCTGGTCAGTACCCCAGACTGGATGTGCTCTAGCTCACACTAGCAGCAAACCATCCTAAATTCCAGGTCAATAACCATAGAGAAACGGCAACAAAAAGCTCTGCCCTTCCTCCTGCACTCTCTAGGCTGCTGAGCCTTTTAACCACATTAAAATACCTGGTTAAGTGGCCTTGCTGCCAGACACATAGCATTCCCCTGTGCAGGCAGACCTGTCATGTACCATAACCTACAGCACGGTGGCACAGAAAAGGGAGGGAGCTTTCATATGTATGATCTCTTCGTAATAGCTTAGCGCCGTGATTTCTACCTGCAGGAGTTGATACTGCTTGGTGCAGGCCATGCGATAACACAAAATGAGGTGGGTCAGAATGCTGTACTCGGCAAGAGGGCGAATCACTAACTAGCAGGTTGACAGGCATATAGGGCGATGAGCACTTGAAGCTACTTCATAACGTGCATGAGAAATTCTGACATCTTGTGGATCTACTTTATGGGTCAGGGCTGTCGCCAGGGCTCCTCTGTTTCCTTCTGGACTCTCAGTGTGTACTTCCCAGGTCTTGCTCTTCCTCATCCGGACAGGGTCTTAGGCCAGGACCAACAGTTACTGTCCCCTGCACTAACTGCTTATCACCAGCCAGTCTCATACGACTTTCAAAACAACAAGGAGCTTTTAATTCTAGGCTTTACTACAAGCTGATTTAGATATGATTTACCATTGCTACAGTAGGAGGGAAAACATTCTCCTACCAAGTCCACAGCCAAGAGGGCATCTCAGACTTTTTTGCCCATTCTGTTCAAGCAGTTCTTTTCTTGCTCTTGGCTGTTTTCTAGGCGACTGGCTTGCAGCTTTTAAGGATCCTTTCTCTAGCACTGACCACATCTACCTTCTGGAGAGGTTGGCTAGATGGCCAGGGGAAAGGGTTGTCTCCTTCCTTCCTTCCATGAGAGAGTGCTGCTCTCCTATGCATGTGCCTGTTTGCACATTCCCCGTGAAATCTCTGTTCTTGTGTATGACAGACACAGCTGTACCATGCCATTTATAAACCCAGGCACGATCCTCGATGGCTCAGGGTGATCAGTTTAAAATAGCAAATACTGCCTGTTTCAATTCACTTGAAGCAAATCTAAGTTGTCTTAACAGACAAGGTAACTCCTGGGATTATAGCTGCCTGCAACGGGCAGTTTTCTTCAGCTCCAGCTGGATTCGTGAGATGCTGCGACAGCTTTGTGGTGTTACACGCATGATAGTTTGGAAATCGGGGGAGGAGAGTTGCTATACACTTCACACTGCAGAGCTGTTGATCAGCCTGAGGATCCTGGTGAGGCTGGTCACGATACAAACTTTTAAAAGCTAGCAGGTAACTCTCAGACGTTCTTGTTTCCTGTCCTTGTATGAATTTCTCAATACATGAATAAAGCAAGATAAAGATTCAGGTAAATGGTAATTAAATTGAGTATGTATCAGCATCTAAATGGAAAAAAAATGCTAAGAATTTGCAATTATCTCAAAGCAAACAGTATGAACTGAGGAAAAATTAAAAGAAATACTGACACACTGAAGTCTTAAAAAACACCCTTTAGTAATGGTTCAAAAACCAAAATTCTGCTAGTAGTAGTTATATCTTGAAGGGAAAAGAAAAAAAAAAGCCACTAGTAGGTCAGCCCAAGTGTTCAGATTAGGAGGTAATATGACATTCACTTTGCTTAGTTGGTAGCTCAAAAGCGGTGACATCTGGAAGGGATGATCCCAGCACTACCCAAGTTTTGTCCAGCTCAAAGTCAGGAGTTTATAATGGTGGGTATAGTAGATTGCAGGATTAGGGCAGTTTTTCCACTTTTAACCCTCATGGAATATCCTTGGTTTATAACACTGGTTATAAACCAGTGCTGCAATGTCCAGAGTATTCTTTTGCATTTACATTACTGAAATTGTTTGATAACTCTGGGAATTCCAGTTCAACGCTGTTTTATTCTGGAGTGGTCTACTGACTTTCACCATGATGAAAATGTATACTAGCCTATAAGTGCTTTATTTGGTGTATTGTCTAAGCCATTGGGATCATTGAGCACAGACTTATGTCTCTGTAATTAATTATAAGGTACTTACTGAATGATTATGGTCACTTAAATCTGTGTTGAAGAGAGTGGCCTCTTTCACTGCTCTTCTCAAAGCAGTTTCTGATATTCTTAATTCACCTAAAATTTCAATAGCAACAAAATGATGCTGCCACAGTGAGCTGTCATTTTTTTCTGAATTCCACATGTCTGTTCAATTTCTACTCACAAACCGTTGCAAATCTCGTGAAGACTTTACCTGGAAACATGCAGTTTTGGTTATCTGGTGTGAGAACAGAAACACGTATCGAAACTTCCCAAGATACGTGAATGGTGGCCATTACAAACATTCATTATCATGGACAAGCACAAAAGCACAACCTGGGTGGACGTCACTCAACCTTCATTCCTCTCTGAAAACAGAGGTTTAGGGATAGGGCACAGTCTGGGGCTGACCCCCAGCAAAGAAACTGGAAAGAAACAGAAGACCTTGAAATTGCAGAAGTTTGGCACTACTTTCTTTAGCCTGGTCATTATATAATGTGCAAAGATAGACACCCTAAATTATTGTTATGGCTTTCTTCCCATGGGTGAATTGGTGTTAGCAACTGGACGGTAGAAACACACAGAAACCTGAGCTGTAAAGCAATACAGGTTAAAAGTTCAGCTTTCCACCTTTATGATGGCAGGTTTCACTCTCTCGCTGAGAATGCCTCATTTGTATTCACTTTTTAGGGTCATTATCTGTCCCATGAGAGTCTTTGTGAAGGTCCAAATTTCAAATAAACAGTACACTATAAGACAGGTATGTGTGGATAATTTTTGTTGTATTTGGCTAAAATATGGGTACTAAGCTCAATAGGTAAACATAAAAGTATGCCATTTAAAACAATGCATTCCCATTAGTGTTTGAATATGTGCCTAAACTCCATGTACACTTTTACATGGTTATGTCATTTCCTGTGTAAAATGTTCTTGTTTATACAGCAGCCATATGAAAGATGCAGTAACCCGCTATGTGGGCTATTTGAAGCTTTCTTTAAGAAACATAAAAACCCCTTGACCCTTGTATAATAAAAGGTGTTAAAAGATACTGCTTTTATAACATCTTAGCCAAGACTAATAAGAATGTACAAAGCAAACAATTTTTTTTATTCCATAGTCCTGGTCGACCACGTGTTATTTTATGAATTTACTGTTGCTGTTGGGTAGTAAAATGATATTTAAAAATAAAATTGCATAAGATTTCATTGCTTCTCAACAAATTTAATAAACAAGGAAATCTTAATAATTTTTTGAAAAACAGTAAATACGGTGCAGTAAATACACTTTGCTGGGTGCTCAGAATAGCCTGGTTTATTCTGTCATTCCAAGTTCACCGATATCCCTATTTTGCTGCGGGGTTTTTTTTGGTTTTTTCAGAACTAGTTTCAACTTTCTGCAGTGACTTGGCTAGCTGAAGTAATGCGAATGGATTCAGTTCTCCCTGATGTCATTTTG